GGTGGATGGTAATGATTAGCTTCCTTCCCTCTAGTCTTAAACTGCTAAATTAGGGCGGCTAGCAGAGATAGCCATCGTGTAGCTTTGCACGAAATTCATAACAAACCAAACCGATACAATATATATCTATAGTAATAAAAGAGCCTATCTGTGTGTGTGTGACCGCCATAGCTTCAAGGGGAAAGAACCTAGAAACCTGGAACTTTTCATGCATACTAAATGGATCCTGAGGGTGTGCACCTGGGTATTATTTTTAAGATTTGATAAAAAAATTGACTCATAGTTTTGCCCTATAGCCCTTACGCCCCCGTAAGTCAGCTTTCTGAAGGTCTATAGAAAAGTATCATATTTGTTTCTAATTATCACTTACTGAATGAACACTATGTGAAAGTTTTCTGCCAAATATTCTTTTCAACACAAACATGGGAAAAAAAATACAAACCTAAGAATTAAAAATAGTTGAATAGAACTAAGTTTGGGAAACGGAAACAAACAACTGGAAGAAAAATATGAATCAGAGAACATTGGAGAATTTGGAGAATGAAAAGAATTCAAATAAAACCACAGGAAGAAAAACCGCATCTGAGAAGCTAAATTAAAACTATTTGCTTTTAAAAAAAGAATGAATTGAATTAAGTTCAGGAAATGGCAACAGACAAATCAATAAAATAATTGACGCATTGGGGTAGCTATAGAAGTAATTAATATAGTGGAGATGTTTGACTGGTACATTGAGGCCTCTATGAATCATAAGGAGACCTTAGAATCCCGCAGCGGAGCGCGGGTATTTTATGCTAATATATATATATATATATATACATTTGAACATTAAATTTTCTATTTCTTTCCAAGATTATGTAAATCCAGTGACAATATGACATGATGATCCACAATGATGCTTAAGAACAAATATTCTATATGCAGTCCTAACACTTGGCATTTCACCTGAAGTTAATTAAGGACTTATGCATCGTGGTTTCAGAATCCTCATTGGAATCTGGATCGCTGAGTACAGAACTTGGTTTCCTGGGATTACATCATCAGGGATTACATCGTCACGGAAATCAGGATTGAATTAATTATAAAGTGAAATAGATGAGTAGAGAGACTAGTTTGGCTAAAAAGGTTGTCTGTATGGAATCCCCTGTATACAGATTTTCCTGCAGAGTAGAAAGGCACGCGAAACTATAGGTACGAAAGATACCACACTATAGAGACTATGAATGTGTATCTCTTCAATCTCTAACTGAATTCATTTAGAGGAAAGAGTTGGATCGTAGAAGATGACCAATAATGGTCTTTAATAATACAAACAAAAGTGCTGTATCATTATACAACAATAAGAGCAAGTGTATCTGTGATGGCTGTGTTGGAATGATGAAAGAGAAACGTTAGAGAGCTGAAGGTATTGTAATTAGATATGTCTGGTCACTGTCGATGATATTTTAGTGTTTGGTCACACCTTCGACTCTGTAGCTTATAACCTGAGAATGGTATTCGAGTAGATAAATAAAGCACTCTTGAGGCTGAAACCTCAAAGGTTCTCGCTCATGTGCTTAGAAGTGGAGTTTTTTGATCAAGTTGTTGGGAGAGATGGAGTCTCTATGAGCAAGCTAAATTTAGCCCCAACTTGTAACAAAACGATAAATCCGCAGTTTCCATGGTTTTATGTTGTATTACCAATGATTTGTGGACAAAGCACCATTGTCTACTGTAAAAAAGTGGAGATTCATTTTGGATGGAGTGAGGAATATGACCAAGCATTTTGATTCCTAAAGTTTGGATGCTTTTGTCCTGATATGAATACATTGTGGGAGTTGAAAGCATAACCATTTCTGCCATAGCAAAGACAAACCATGAAGTAGGATATTCTACTGGAGGATGGTTGCCAAGATTTACACTTCAGAAGCTCCAGGAAAAACAAATATAGGACCCCACCCTAGAATGGGCACTCCTTGCCATGCATTAAGGTGAAGCCCAATCTGCACTAATATACATAACACAGACGTACGCAGCCTGTGGTACATGTATGACCAGTTACACGTACAAGAAGGTGTGTTGTTCCATTACTATAAACATGAAACCATGGTTCACAACACAAACACCGGAGAGCCGAGTTATTATCAACACCTGTAATAACGTTTAAGTTCAGATGTTTGGCGATGGTTTTAAAACTGCACAGTGTGTGCCACCCAAAGGAAGACCCGGTTGATACAGGTTAAACTCTAACTGAGAACTGTTGCTCTGCGTATTGCCGACCCATTCACAAAGACAGTGAGAATTCACCAATACATGATCTGATGAGATGTTCCTCCGTTTTCAAAGGAATGTGTGGAGAGGCTGATGTCTACAATGGTCGACACAAACAAGTTCACCGAACAACAGTTAGAGACTGAAGAAGGGTTTTGATCAGACAGTAAAATAATGGATGTTCCAGTTTAGAGATTTGGGTCTGGTTATGGTACCTGCCAGCCATAAGAAAGCAACCTGGATCTGGCTGGACTGTCCACACCTGATACTCCATATACTGAGGTTCATCAGAAATAAGAAAGTGGAATATCAACGGAAGAATATCAAAGAGAAGATATTGGAGATTACAATTGAACAAAAAAGAAGATTCATAGCCAAGAAAAGAAAGGTGATGTATCAATATAATTAAAAGACGTGAAAGAAGATTGGACAGAATGGGAAATAAATTCGTGGATAAGAACACAGAAAAACGTTGATAGATGTAAGATTATATTGGACAAAAACTTTACTGGATCAAAAACCAGTACAAATTAGATCCATTACAAGATAGGTATAATAGGTTTAAAAAAACAAAAAAAAACAACAAAGTTATAAATGAATCGGATTTAATCTTAAATGACAAGCAGTTACATATTTTAAATAGAGGTTTCAATTTTTCATTTGATCCGAAAATTTTTACAAAGACGACATCATAACAGAAGTAGAATGAATTTTAAAAAATGAAAAAAAAAATTGATAAAACTCAAAATATAAGAAGTGAATGTTATTTATTTGATAATTTTTCAATCTAGAAATAATAACAAATAAAAAATGTTGAAATTTTAAAGAGTTTAAAATAATAAGATATTGTTATGTGTAAAGCCGATAAAAAGGATCAAACTGTACTTGGTAATAAAAAAAAGATTATCATTTAAAAATTAAAGAATTGCCAAAAGAAGGTCTGTACGAGAGCATTAAAATTAATCTAATATATACACTCCATACAATGGGGAAAAAAAGAAGTTACAAATTGTACAATCTTGACATATCAAGAAAAAGCAAGGCTCAATCCCAAGTAGCTTTATAGTACCTAGATTATAGCTTTACCTAAATTCCATTAGATTGGGGACAGTTTTAGGCCTATTTAGACAGTTTTAGGCCTAATGAATCTAATATCAAGAGTTCCATGTATAATGTAAAAAAATTCATATTAAACCAGTTTTCATTTTTGAGGGATAAAAAAGAAGTACACAGTTAAGAATTCGTTGAAAGAATTAAACAGGAAAATA